TTTACAGTCAATGAGCCAGTGAGGATCATTCATGGTCACATTCATGGACACATTAATGGGCGGCAGTGTCACCAGAGCACCAGCAGAGAGGAGCCTTTTCATGATATCCTCCTGGTCTTCAATGGCCGCAACTTGCAGTGGTGTGAGTTTTTGTTGTTGCACTGGAGTAGATCCATCTGGATTATCTTTTGTCTCAAGCAACAGATCCACGAAATAAAGAGGTGCTTTGGAATATGAGACATAATGCAAAGGTGTCCAGAGGCGTTGAGAAGGTATATTTGAGTCTGCACCCTGACTCTAAAGGTAAGAACATATATGTGTGTTTTGATTTACAACAGCAGCAATCAGTGGTGTTATATAATCACCCCACTTGCTACAAGGGTGAACTCCATTAACATTATTGTCCTTCAGTAATTTACTGAGCTCTTTGAGGTCATTATTAGTTATGCACTGGATTATAGGATGTGTTTCTGTTGGTGGGGATACTGCCAGATGTAGCTGAGAGATGATATCCATGTTTTTGCTTCACATTACCTGCAAAAGAGAAAGCACTGACATTTAAAATCATTCAAACTAGAGTTTAAAGGATGTTCATTTTGTTTTTTTAATAGTTTATAAATGTCTACAGAAGCCTAAGATTCTACGTAGACTACAATAATGGGTGATAAGCTGACAGCGATGCAGGTGGATTCTCTGGTGTCCTGGATTGTTGATTGCCTGACAGGAAAACGACAATATGCGTGTCTTCAACATTGTGTGCCTGAAAAGGTGATCAGCAACACAGGGGCACCACAAGGGACTGTCCTCTCCCCCTTCCACATTACAGACTTCAGCCACTGCACTGAGACCTGCCATCTTCAGGAGTTTTTTGATGGCTCTGCGGTGGTTGGATGCACCACCTAGGGTGATGAGATGGAGTACTGGGCTGTGGTTGACTCCTTTGTCACGTGGTGCAAGCAGAATAATCTGCAGCTCAATGTGGCTAAGACTAATGAATTCATTGTGGACTTTAGGAAGACCAGGAAAACCTTGACCCCTGTTTCAATCCAGGGGGTCAATATGGACATTGAGGAGGACTATAAATACCTTGGAGTATACATAGACAATAAACTGGACTGGGTTAAAAAAAAAAAAACACTGCACTTTACAGGAAGGGTCAGAATCGTCTCTATTTCCTGAGGCGCCTGAGGTCTTTCAACATCTGTCGGACAATGCTCAGGATTTTCTATGAGTCTGCTGTGGCCAGTGCTATCCTCTATGCTGTTGCATGCTGGGGGAGCAGGCTGAGGGTCGCAGATGCCAACAGACCAAAATAACTGACCCGCAAGGCCAGTAATGTTGTGGGGATGGAGCTGGACTCCATTAGGGTGGTGTCTGAGAGGCTGATGTTGTCCAAGATAAAGACAGTGCTGGATACCTGCCACCCACTCCATGACGTACTGGCTAGTTACAGGAGCACGTTCAGTGAGAGACTGAGATTACCAAAAAGTACCACTGAACGACACAGGAAATCATTCCTGCCTGTGGCCATCTCCCACACTGTAAACACTGCAATAGTTACACCCTTCTTACACATACCCTTTTCTACTCTCTAATATTCTTGTCATTATTCTTATTATTAGAGGTGATTATAAATAAATATTTATAATCACCTCTGCTAATTCTCAATATTTATAATTGAGTGATTTGTATATATTAGTACTATCTTAAATTTGTAAAATCTGTAACATACTGTTTTGTTTAAACAGTTTTGTCTGCTACTGTTACTTTCTTGGAGCAACAGTAACCCACATAATTTCCTTAGGGATTAATAAAGTATTCTGATTCTGATAATGGAGGTTTTATGCATGCAAAAATAATAACTTGGAAACACTGGCAGCCCCTAACTGTGTTTTTAAAGTGTTTTGCATGTATAGCAGGACCTTTTCTTCTCTCCATTCCTTTGCGACTTTGGATTTTTGTGTTATGACATGCAGTACTCTGGAGAGAAGTGTTTTACACAACATCTTGTTACAGGGCAGCACGGTGGCACAGTGGTTAGCACTGTTGCCGCACAGCAAGAAGGTCCTGAGTTCAATTCCACCATCAGGCCGGGGTCTTTCTGTGTGGAGTTTGCATGTTCTCCC